CTCACCCCTGTGTTCTCCTCACCTCCCCTTCTCCTCACCCCCTGTCCCTGTGTTCTTCTCACTCCCCTCTGTGTTATTCTCACTCCCCCCTCCCTGTGTTCTCCTCAACTTTCCTTCTCCTCACCCCCCCTTCCTGTGTTCTTCTTAGACATGTGTAATTCGTTTCGGTCCAAATTAAAATTTGTCCGAATTTCGGGTAATTCGGACATTCGGAAGCACCCGAATGTCCGAATAGCTGAATTGCCGAAGTATAGTAGTGCCGAAGTGCCGAATTGCTGAAGTGCCGAAGTTCCGAAGTTGCCGAAGTTCTGAGGTGTCAAAGTGCCGAAGCACAGTATTGCCTAAGTACTAATACACTTACCCAGTGAAAGAAGAAGAATTTTACATTGTATACAATTTTAAATAAAAAGCATACAAACATAGCCAGGATTCAGCTGTAAGCCTGTGGTTGCTCACTGTTTCTTCTAAAATCTTATTTTTTTAGCCCCAAAAAAGGCCAAATAAAAATCCAGAATAACCAACGCAATTAAAAAAAACCCAAACCTTAAAGAGTCTTGCCCTGCCAATCAGAGTGCTCTGAGCCTAATTGCAAGGCGGGGCAAGGATTTATAAGCCTTCCCTCGCCCTGCAGAGCTCAGTCTGCACGGAGCCCTCGCCGGTGAATATGAATTATAATTTTTTTTGCGCTCAGGTTTTTTTTTTTTTTAATTGCGTCGGTTATTATGGATTTTTATTTGGTCTTTTTTGGGGCTGAAAAAAGAAGATTTTAGAAGAAAGAAAACATCAAATGGTAAGTTTATTTTAATTTTTACAGGTACTTAGTTAAAGGTACCCCCCTCATTATTTTTAGGGTGAGGGGGGTAGGTAGGGGTTCATTTTTTTTGGGAGGAGGTGACTAGGGGTTTAGGGACCCCTAGTCACCTGGGGGGAGGGGGTTACATTTGTATTTAGGGCCCCCACCCGCCGCTCAGGGGTGGGGGCCAAGGGGGAGGACATTAGGTCCCCCCCAATTTGTATTTAGGGCCCCCACCCACCGCTCAGGGGTGGGGGCCAGGGGGGAGGACATTAGGTCCCCCCAATTTGTATTTAGGGCCCCCACCCACCCCTCAGGGGTGGGGCCAGGGGGAGGACATTAGGTTCCCCCCTAATTTGTACTTAGGGCCCCCACCCACCACTCAGGTGGGTGGGGTCCCATTAGGTCCCCCCCTTATCCTAGTTTAGAGCCCCCACCCACCACTCATCGGTGGGGGCCAAGGGGGAGGACATTAGGTCCCCCCCAATTTTTATTTAGGGCCCCCACCCGCCGCTCAGGGGTGGGGGCCGGTGGGGAGGACAAGAGGTCCTCCCCCCTTTTTTTACTTTAGGGACCCAACCCGCCGCTCAGGGGTGGGGGCCGGGAGGGGGGCAATATGTCCCTTTTTGTTTTTTTTGTTTTTTTTAACAGTGAGCAGTTACAGGCTGCTCACTGTTTAATAGACATGCCCCTACTCGCGGTATAGCGAGTAGGGGCAAAATTTACTAATACTAAGTAATTTTTACTTAGTATTAGTAAATTTGTCTGAAAGACCAATTTCAGCCACGCTACATGGAAGGCGAGATGAGGAGAGGCAGTGCGGCAGCCGCCTGAGGCTCTCTATGGAGCGCTCAGGCAGCTGCAGCATTTAAAGGGACGGCGATAGGGGCGCTCTGTCTGCGTCATCTAGCTGGATATTTTGATATTTTGCGATTCCGTCTCCAGGCTACATTATCAGACGAGATTTATAGTTCACTTTCTCGAGTCATTAGCCTTCATAGTGAACAGAGTAGTTCAGTTTTTCGTTTTGAGATGGTCTAGGTGAGATGCGTTCTATGACTTCCCACTTCAAAAATAACTGCCATGTGAAAGGAGATACATTAAATCCTCTTCTGTCTTCTTCCATCCAGATGATATTCCCGGGTCCCCTGCATTACTGTGCAATGCAATTGTTGATGGCTCAGTGTCTGTGCTCAGGTCACTCGTACGATGACTGGGTGCCTCTTTTACCAGAGACTCAGATGGAACTTCATTGGTGGCTGATCCACATGCAGGCCTGGTATGGCAAGGCGATATTCGGTCCACCACAGGACTTTAAGATAGAGTCGGATGTCAGCCTATGGGACTGGGGGGCTTGCTGTACACACGCATCGACAGGAGGTGCATGGTTGGAGGAAGAGTGCAATCTTACAGGGATACATACAGGGATTTAATTTCTAATTAGTGGGGTAATAGCTGCTTGATACAAGGAGATATCTGACTGCTATTTTAGGGTCAGGAAGGAATTTTTTCCTAGTTTGTTGTGAGGAAGGCTGAACTTAATAGACACGAATCTCTTACAGCTATGTAACTATATAACTACATACAGCCAGCAGCCAGCACAGACTACACACACACATTGCATATAGTCAGCACTCACCAAACACACACTACAGCCAGCACAGGCTACAGCTAGAATACAACAAACACACACATTACACTCTTTAGGTCATGGGGCACAAGGAAACAATCCAATGAATCACAGCATACAGAGAGATCCCATGTGAAACGGGCCTGTGGTAGAGAGAGGTCCTTCCTTCCTACATGGTAGGGCACATGTATGTCCCTCCAGTTAGCACAGATCATATGTAGATTAGTATGTACAATGCCAAATCTACTTTTGGCCATTTTGGTGTTATGGACAGTGTTTCTTATGAAGTTCAGCCAATACGCATAATATATCCTTGGCTCATATTCTATGAACATGACACCAAACATTTCAGGGCAGCTGCAGATCATAACAAATGATCAGGCAGCTTGGGCCTACTGCAATGCGTGGGTCTGGAGTTTCGGCTCCTTTAGCTCCTATGCTAATCCTGCCCTGAGTAAAGGTCATGCTAATGGACATTGTGCAGATGTATGATGATGATCAAACCCCCCATACATCATTGTTAAATTGTTATTGTTAATACCTATTAACATTATATGTATATTTGTACAATTATAATTCTCACACAAACACGGAAGCAAGGGAGGGAAAGAAACAGACCAGATATAGTAACACTGCAAACTAATATGCACTTAGTTTATAATGTTGCATTAAATAAGAGATAGGAGATGAAAGGTGAATACCATGATATATACAAAATGATGAAAGTGATTATGAAAGAATAGGTTTTGCAATAATTAGTGGAAATTGTTACATATTCTCTTTCTCTGCCAATTGTTATATTTTCTTTGAGCGGCCAAACCTTAGAAATATTAATAGCATCAAATGACCAGGTACACATGTGATGTAGGTTGCATAACAGTTCATTGTAATACAGCCACACCTAGTGACTATGCAGTCTTTCCCCAGGTTCTGAACCTGTGCAATTTGAGTAGTGGGGCTAAGTGAGTGGGTGTCTTTGTTAGATTAACTCACTAAGCACTAGTTACGTAGTTGTCTTTGATAATTCCTGAACAGCTCAAGGCGTGTGATCTACAAATATTGTTTAAATGAATAGAAAGGGAGGGATCCCAAACACACAGATTTTCCTCTTTGCTTTTTCTGTTGAGCTTTGGCCCATCATTAAAGAATCTGCATGTGACTTATGGTGTGGTTTCACGTGAGATTAATTCAATTTGCTCTGTGTAGTCTACTTTGTTCATAGATAGAGCTGAACAATTGGTAACAAGGCACTATGTAGATCAGTTAATAAGTCATAAAGGATCTTGTGCTTTTAAATTTAACAGTTTATTATTCTGCCAGAACCAGTGTGTAAATCAATTAGAAACAACATGGGCCAAATAAATATTTAGTTAATAGTGATTACAAGCAACCATACAAACTGTAAGAGGACAGTGACAATCTCTATTTCTATATACACACACACATGGATATATATATTTGTGCTCAGAATTTCAATAGGTTATGGATTGTAGAAGATGCAAAGTTGGTTGAGGTGTGCCGAAACCAACGTACGAGTAGGCCTGTAATAAAAGAGGGCCCACCAAGGTGAAATGTAAAATGTAGATACGTGTAGGTGGGTGGGGTAAATCAGCTTTGCACGGCAAAGGTGAGTAGGGGCTAGGGGTTTAAGTAGGGGCCTTAATTCCTCCCACAAATTCAGGCCTAATGGCCTTTCACTTGTGCTCAGAATTTCAATAAGTTATGGATTGTAGAAGATGCAAAGTTGGTTGAGGTGTGCCAAAACCAACGTACGAGTAGGCCTGTAATAAAAGAGGGCAAAAGGAGAATTCAAAGTAAACACACTTTATTGCAAGTTTACAAAGCTAGACTTCTGAAAGCTTGCCGAAGCTCCTTCTCTGGTTGTGGTATGTAAGTATTGTAAATGGATGATTTCCAGCGACCCAGTCTTTTGATGATGTGAACTGATGTGTTTGAGCTTGATGCGGAAGAGGCTGCTCCTATTCGAAAGGAGTGACCGGAGAAGGAAGCCGGGTTGTAGTCCAACCTTGACAGTAGTGTCCTTATGTGAGAAGTGAATTTAGCCATGGTGTGTGGGTGTCCTTGGAGTGGCAATAGTGGAGTGTTTGGTGAGTGTGTGTGGTGAGATACGAGAATTAAGTCAAGTACTTTGACTGGACACCAGGCATTTTCGGTAGAAAAGAGAGGAATGATAGTGGGGTAATTGGTATGGTTAGTCTTTGTGGAAGGTAAAGAGATTACATAGTGGTCGTCGACAGGGCCGGATTAACATAGGGGCTGATGGAGCTGCAGCTCCAGGCCCAGGCCCAGGCCCATCAAAAAAAAATAATAAAAAAAAATTTTTTTACTTTGTTTTTTTTTTTTTTTACACACTACTCTTAGGTTTGCCACTTGACTGGTATTTTAAGGCACAGCCAGTATTTGAGGCTGCCTGGCTGTGACAGTGTTGCAGTAATACCGGCAATACAAATGCAAATATTTTTTCAGTATAAACGGAGATTACTCTGCAATAAGTCACTGTGTGTGGAGAGAGGCAGGGATAGGAAGTTACAGCATCTCCCTGCCTCTCTCTACTCACTGATCTGCTGGGGAGCAGCTACACAGCACAGAGAGTCCAGACAGCAGCTCCCAGCCTGCAGAGATAGGCTACAGCTCAGGTATGTGAAGGATGGGGGGAAAGGCAGCAGGGAGACATGGAGACACTGAGACACTAGGGGACACTGGGAGATGTGGGGACACTGAGAAACATAGGGACACTGAGACACATGGGGACGCTGTGAGACATAGGGAGACATATTGGGACATGGAGACACTAGGGACACAGTGTCTCCATGTCTCCCAGTGTCCCCATGTCTCCCAGCGTCCCCATGGCTCCCAGTGTCCCCATGGCTCCCAGTATCCCCTAGTCTCCCAGTGTCCCCATGTCTCTCAGTGTCCCTATGTCTCAGAGAGTTCCCAAATGTCTGTATCCCCCATGTCTCCCAGTGTCCACATGTCTCCCAGCCAGTGCCCCATGTCTCACAGGGTCCCTATATCTCCCAGCCCTGTCCCTAGTGTCTCAGTGTCCCCATGTCTGTGTCCCTAGTGTCCCCATGTCTCCCAGTCTCCAAATGTCTCGGTGTCCCCATGTCTATGTCCACAAGTGCTCCCATGTCTCCCAGTGTCCCCAAGTGTCTGTATCCCCATGCCCCCCAGGCAGTGTCCCTAGTGTCTGTGTCCCCATGTCTCCCAGTGTGCCCTAGTCTCCCAGTGTCTGTGTTCCCATGTCTCTCAGTGTCCCTAGTGTCTTAGTTTCACCAAATGTCTGTATCCCCATGTCTCCCAGTGTCTGTGTCCCCATGTATCTGTGTCCCTAGTGTCTGTGAACCCATTTCTCCCAGTGTCCCCAAATGTATCAGTGTCTCCATGTCTCCCAGTGTCTCCATGTCTCCCAGTGCCCCCATGTGTCTCAGTGTCCCCGGGTCTCTCAATGTCCCCATGTCTCACTGTGTCCCCATGTCTCTCAGTGTCCCCATGTCTCTCAGTGTCCCCTAGTATCCTAGTGACATGGGACACACTAAGACATGGAGACACTGGGAGAAATGGGGACACTGACACTGGGAGACTAGGGGACTGGGCAACATGGGTACACTGACACTGATATATAGGGACACTGATGCCAGGCTGGCCTTCCAATTCTTTGGACAGACATGCCCCCTTTTTGGGCATGTTCGCCCCTTTTGGCAGTTCTGGTCACGTGATTCGCGTCAGTGGCCAACCTTTTTACCCCACCCATTGACTTCCTGCTTCACTGAACACTGCTGTTAGGGGGTATGGATTTACTTGAAAGATGAAAGCATACATTAGAGAGAGATTAGCATAGAGTATGTGTTTTCTTATAGCTGCATCGTTTAAATTTCCCTCTGACACCAACTCCATCAGATACATAACGCTTAGGAGGTATGACTGTTTTAGTGTTTTTGGTCGATAAGATTCTGTAATTAGGCCACATCATAATTGTCAGCACCAGGCCCACTGGGCTCTTAATCTGGCCCTGGTCGTCGACCTTTCTAAGATGAGACAGCTTAAGGCTTGATATTGTATCTGCCTGTCTTATGACTGTGAACTCCCTAGGTCTGAGGAAGCCGTAGAAAGCAATAACACTAGATTAGTGTGATAGTTGAATGGTGATTTATCTAGTAGGTCACTAAGTAATCTGAAAATAGGACGATCTATTGGCAATCTGGTAGTGACAGGAGGAGCTGTAACTTTGTGAATACCTTTAGTATAGCAGGTAGTGTTGTACCCCTGTGAGGTAAAGCTTAATGGTTTTGTGGGATAATTTAAGGTGTAGGTGACAGAAGGAGGCAAAAGCCACCTTGGTTTTAATGGAGAAGTCTCCTTGCAAGTGAAACTCTGCAGTGAACTTAGTAAAAATAGTCAGTGCCCTAGCGTAAGTGGTAGTGGTGTTGGGTGAGAGTGCGTGATGTGTAAGTGCCTGAGCTTGATGTAGTAGCTCAGTTAAGCCATGATTATCTTGTGAAAAGGTGGTATCCTGGATGGTAGGTGGTGGGCCGTGGGGTGTGCCCTGAAGAAAACCTGAAATTGAGAACGGGAGAGAGTGTCAGCCGCAGTGTTACAGATATCAAGAATGAGAATGTTCAATTTCTACTATATATATATATGGATACATTGTCCAGAGTAAATCCCAGGAACACCAGTTTGTTAGAAGGTCCAAGCGTTTACCCGGTGGCAGGGTTACCCCTAGTGTGGTGAAGAGGTCTGTGGTGTTGTGAATGCTACTTGGTGTGTGTGACCTCGGTTCTGCCAACAAAACCGTCAAATGGTAGAAAATGGAGGAATACCTGACTATGTTTAGGAGCCAACATAGTGTTTCAGTGAAAATGACAAAACAGCTAAGGGCTGCTCCTTGCCCCAAAATTAAGCTGGGTAGAAAAAGTAGCTGTCCCGCCATCTTACATCGTGTAAGTGCCAAAGTGAGGGGTAAAAATTTTGATTGATCTAACAATGAACCATGGTAGTTCAATTAGGTTATAGATGAATAAGTTGCCTGGGCATAGTACTGGAGTGGAAAACGTATGACCTTGTAGCAGTCGAATTGCCATTTAGATGAAAAAGGTTTAATACATGCAGGTAAAAGAAAGTACAAGTAAATAACAGCATATCCCAATTAGTGTCACTTTAAAACATCAGAAGCAGAGGGATGAATATTCCAAATGTAGAGCTTTGTACGTTCGAATGAATGAATGAATGTCAACATAGGAACAAAGCACTACATAAGAAAAAAGGGGGCTGGCGTTCGGCTAAATACAGGGGCGGACTGAGAACCCTCAGGGCCCCCGGGCAAAATAAATCAAGGGCCCCCTTACAGGCCCCACCCATACTCTGCAGCAAGCGCCACCCTTGTCCCGCCTCCATGCACAGCCTCCAGCCACACCCTACACAATCTTTAGACACAAGGAACAAAAGGGCAATAAGCCCTTCGAGGCCCCAGTAGAGACTACAATTGAGGGCTAATGGGCCATGGAGGGGGGTCTTTCTAGCGGAGGCTATCTCAGTGTCATTTAGAGAGTGTGTTAGATAGAATCCCCTCCAAGCCCCATTAGAGACTACAATGGAGTCTAAAAAGGCTTGGAAGGGGGTCTTTCTAACAGAGGCCATCTCAGCGTCCATTAGATATCCCCTGCTGG